CAAATAATACACTGCATATATTCTTCTTAGTGGTTAATTGCTGTACAAGATGTGGACTTGTGATCCTATTTACAAACACCATTAGAACAAGGATAAGCGCTTGACTGGCAAACGCAAGGATCTGAGTTCAATCCCCAGTTCTGCAAAAAAATAAAATAAAATAAAAAATAAATGTATAGTTGAGGCTGGTCTGGAACTCACTAGATAGCCTCAAACTTGGAGTGATCCTCTTGCCTCAGCTTCGTGCAGGATTATAGGCCTGCACTATCATCATGCTTGGTTTGAGTAAAATTTTTTTTCCTTTAAAATTTATTTATTTATTTGTGTGTGTGTGTGCGTGCGTGTGCGTGTCTGTGGCCAGCTCAGCCCACCAGGGGGAGGGGCTGGCTGGCATGTGGTGCAGGGGGATTGAACCGCAGTCCCTGTGCTTTGCTAAGCTTGTTCTAAGTAGGTGCTTTAGACCACTGAGCCATCTCACCAGCCCCTTGAGTAAAATTTTTAAAGATACCTCTATCTGACTGAGTTTAACACAAATTGTGGGATTGATAATACTTTTCTTTCAGAATTTGGAAATCAAGGCTGGACATGGTACACATGCCTGTAATTACAGCTCTCAGGAAGCTGAGGCATGAGGATCATTTTGAGTTCAAGACCAGCCTAGGCTACAAAAGTGGGCCTGAGCTCAATAAAGCCCAGCCTGAATTGCACAGCAAGACCCTGTCTCAAAAAGACAAAAAAAAAAAAAAAGAATATTTCATAATCACTGTGCCAATGCCAATTTCTAGTTTTGCTGCCATATCTATATATCTATATCTATATCTATATCTATATCTATATCTATATCTATATCTATATCTATCTATCTATGGCACCGGGGATCAAACTCAGGATCTTCCACTTGTCGGACAGGGCTTATGCCTCTGAGCTATCTCTCTGGCCCCAACTTTTTAAAATATTAAGAAAAAAAAAACTTTCTTTGGTACAGGGTCTTGCTATACAGCTTGGACTTACAGTGATTCTCCTGTTTCACCCTTCCCAGCACTGGGATTAGTGGTGTGGGCCACCACACCCAGTTTTGGTGGCCAGCACTGCACGTTTCTGGGGCCAAGGCATGTGCTACTCAGGATTAAAACCAGGTCCTTGCAATTGCCAGGCAGGCGCTTAGACCCCAAGCTATCTCTCCACTCTGCTACCAAGGCTTCTGACCTCTACTACTATGTGATCTGTTTTTCAGGAAAAGCAAGGTAGTCTTAACTGTAAAGTGAGCAAAGAAGGGCAGAGTAGAAGCAGTGTGTGCTTTTACTCTGAGTGCCATGGGAACTACTAGAGGACTCTCAGCACCAGAGGAGTGTTGTCTGACTCATCAAATAAATCACTTCAGTGGCTATGATGAGACTGAGCTTGACAGCAGTAGAGACAGAAAAGGGCAGAGGCAAAAAGTCCCACAGGGAAGTCAAATGCAGTAACCCAGGAGTATGAAACTGCCAGATTCTAGGTTTAAAATTTTTAAGGCTAAGTTAAAAAGATTAATTTCTGCACCACATATGAAATCAAATGAACAGAGTAAGAAATGACTCCAAAATTAACCAAGGAGAGTAAGGAAGGGGGTATGGAAGACAGAAGTGTGAGATTAGGGGCAGGGTAAGAAGTTGAGTCATGCACATGGCAAGTCCAAAGAGGCTATTCGTTACCCACACAGAGCTGGGGCATACGAGTATCTTGTTGAGTTAGTACTGTGGACCTGACTTTGCCTCTCACTTTGACCACTGACTCTCCACTGTGAGCCACACAACAGCCTCTCAATCAGATCCTAGAACAACTTCTATTACTTACATGAAGAACCTTAACCCAACATCATTACTAAAACTGGAAAATAACTTATGAATAAATCCTGCTTTATTAAAAGGAACATAAAAAATATATGTATAGTACTGTTTGTTTTATACAATTTATATATCATCTACTTTATTATTTATAAAAAGGAACTAATAATAAAATTCTTTTTTTTTTTTTTTTTGCAGAACCGGGGATTGAACTCATCCCCTTGCACTTGTCAGGGAAG